TCATCGTCCTTCCGACCCCAGCATCGCAATCAGCAGGCCCTAACCGACGTCAACTTCAGAGTACTGGTTTTCATTCTGTTGAATATATCATCACTCGGCCGCCCCTGCTCCTCTTGCATCCACACTCCGGTCGCTCAAACTACGCACGACATGGGAGTCCATCTACTGGCATTCGAAGCATGTAGCCCAGCCATCGATGCCGGATGTGTGGCATAATGTTGCTGAGCGTTCTACTCGCTCTTCCTGCACCAAATACAAGACTAAAAACGCGTTCATTGCTTACCTGATGTACCTACCAGACGGGAGCTGTGTGGCGAAGGCAGCGAGGGTCGACCACAGGCAGTCCCTTTGTGTCTGTTGTTCTGGTGGTCCAAGTTCCACAACAATACAGGCGGCTTGAATCCATCGTTGTGTTGTGACTCTGCTCTACAGGGCGAGAGTCATGTCACGCCTGCTATACGGTTCGTGACTTCATATTTAATCCCACGGGAGCTAATATAGTTGCATAAGTACTTGAGTTCCTGGTAAATTTCTAGCTGATCACCACCAACGGCCAGCGTAGGTGTGGGTCCCTACCAAACTTGGAGAACGACTTTGTGTTTCGAGAGTGCAAGGCGTTACCCAAAACCATTGACGAGGCATGGTTCAGATTTGAGTTTGCGTTCCTCAGCTAGAATTGGCTCCTTGAATAAGTTAACCATCCATAAACAACTACCAGTTACTATGATGGATTTAAGCGTGGCAGACCAGTTTGCATTCTGATCGCATCCTTTGAAATGTGTCGGGTGGCGTTTTAGGAGCTTGTGTTAACCATATTTAGAAGCCGCGCAATATCAGCCTTATGGCTATTTAGGTAAACATCGAGAAATAATCGGATGTGAAGACGCGTTACAACATACCATCATGTGATCAGATTAGGGGAAAATGGTATGGTTGAGGCCCCAAATACTGTCCTTTGTGGAGTTGAGCACTATGGTGTCGTTTAACCCTGCGTACGACCTTTGCTAGTATTCCATGTTAAGCCACAACCAGTATCAGGCCTCGCACGATTCTAGGCCAAGCTTATTTCCACTAAATTACAGTGCATAAGCGAACACAAGTTACTTCCAACCCCATCCTTGTACTACTGCTGACTCCGTTACTAACATTCTTTTTGTAATCCCCAAAATGTATGTGACAAGTGCGCCAACTCTGCTGACATTGTGTCGCTTGCACACGTGTAATCAAAGCACAAAATTAGCTTCCGAAACTCACCGCACTATCTGATTTAGATGGTGGTGTTTTAACTTTTATGCTCTAAAGCAGGTTATAATAGCACGCTCATTAGAAACGCTGGTGCAGTAATATGCTGCCCGCTGAGTAACTGGAAGCATGATTCGTGATTGTGGAAACAAACCCCCTAGTTCGTCCCCACGTTGCTAGTTGCACATACCAGAGAATAGCGTTACATTGTCAATAGTTTGAGAAGCAGGCGGCATTATCGGCAGTTCAGCGTTTCAAACATCACTGATTCATTCGCTTCCGGTAGACAGCTGTTTGTGCGTAGCCATTTTTACACTGTTAAATATAAATCGCACATGGAACGATGCCAATCGCTGCATGTTCATAGTTGTCACACATGTTTCATCGACTGCTGTCCCTATGCTGTTAACGATGCTTTCACTGCGAACACGACGAGTTAGTCCGCAATGTTGCCACCATGATACGATTCTTATTGCAGATACTGGGGATACGCGATTGTCGTCTGAGATCCTCAGAAACCATCTGTGCGAAATACCGGGCCTAATCGATAGTGCATTCTAAATCCTGTAATTGTGTCGCAATCATGTACAGAGCGAAGTTCATACTTCTGTGCAGTGCAGTTAGTATCAATGTACGTCTTGGTTCACTTTGGCCCTGACCAGCATTGGATCCAACCAAACCGTTTCTTCATATGCGTTTAGGTACCTTGGTTCCATCGTTACTGCTACGCATTCTGGAACGCGTGTGTCGATGCTCTGTAGAATGACACCTACTTGTGCTGACTTTACAGATTGTGCAATGAACGATCCACCTGGTTGAAAGCCTAGAATCTATCTCATCCCCATTTTAGGAAGGCTTACCGAGGCGACTTGACTCCTGAGTCTTTTCTGGCTTACTACGGTGACTTCTGGCTTGGGCATCCTAGGAGAGGATAATGGAATAGTGGGATCAATATCGGCGTTTACGACCCTGAATACAGGTTAAATGATGCCGATAGAAACCTAGCTATCAGCCTCCGTTCTTTTTCTTCGCCTTAGTGAAGAAGGGGATACCCGATGTTGAGGATATTGAGCAGGTTTCCAAAGGAACCGATTGGAAATGGTACACTTTTCATTTGGCATCGGATAACGAAGCTGTACCACATTTGGAACAAAGCACAGCTGTTCCCCGATCACAAGAGCACGTTTGAGATGGGTTTTCCACTAGTCAACTAAAGAGTGCGAATGAAATATGGAAACATATTAGATGTCATTTATTCAAACAACTCAGATCGCCCTCTGGCATATTACTAAGGGTTGTGTAACCTGCTGCCACATTTATCCCACGATGCACATATTTTTGGTCCCATTGTCGACTCGCAAATAGAAAAGTGCTGTCGTCAACTCATCAACCACTTGTAGAATCAGACACCCTTACTGGCATTTAACTGCCGTAACAACAGTAATGTGGGCTTGACGTATGAATTGGATGCATATAACGCGAGAATAAATGGATTTTTATAAATATCTGTTGCATCTTGGATGCTTACGCAACAATGCTCTTGTTCTCTTGTTTTGCATATGTTGGGCCACAGTGTGGGACATCATTTTCAGGACACGCAGATGGCTTAAACTTGTTTTGAGGATCCCATGTGCTCTACGACTTTCTGCTTGCAACTTGCTGGCATTGTATGACATTAGAGTGTTCGTAACGCGGAGTTGTGCAGCCAAGTACTGACTATTGGATCAGCAGATGCGGAAAACGTTTTATGGCACGTGTTACGCAAGTAGGCGCACCACATACCAATGACTCTTGCTTATCCTACAGCACCCTTAGAGGCAACCAACCGCTGGCTTAGCCACCGGAAAGCAAATTAACCTTCACACATTTATCCAAGGATACACTGTTGCACTGAAAATAATGATGAATTTCACCAAAAGATAGATATATGTGACTTAATGGCTTAGTAAGCGAGGAAGATGAATATAATTCATAAATGGTACTTAATCATTTTATGGAGGAGCTTGAACTCGTCTGAAAACAGTAGGCAAAGGAAGTTGTTCATTCAGAACAGCCTTCCGGAAACAGCTAAGTAGTACTGTAGATCGAAATGTCGACCTACATTTCGCCAGCATTAATATATCGCCAATCATTATTAGTTGCTGCACTTCCTAGTTTTGAGAAATAGCTTAACGTTATGTGGGGAACAGATGGAGAAACCGATGGAAGTTGTTTATTTAAATATATATCCAGCCTACAAGAAGAGGTAGGAGTGGCGCCACTGATTTAGTCAATAGTTTCGAAAGTCTAGCCTTGTATTCTGACAAATCTAGCAGCTCTTTTTGGTTTCGGTTTTTAAACGCACCGCTCAGAGACACAAATTAGTGCTTCCTAATATTTATCATGAGTTTGTATGTAATTGGTCAGCAAATTACAACTGTCATTCATTCGAAGAGTTCTCGCTCTTTAGCGTTACTTATACGCATTTGTCTGGGTCAGACATATGTTAGGGAGCAGTCAACAGCTCGCAATACATGCTGAAACACACTGCTTTCTGGCGTTCAAAGTGGACTGTAACATATCCGGCATTCATTGCACAAACTGCAGTGTGACAGACGAACTAATCTCCGGCAGTTAGAAACCAAACATTTTCTCGGCACTCTTTACCTGATTGCATTGCGTAAGAAATTCATGGCCACCAGACTGTTTTAACCGGTCTGCATCGTGAAGGATCCGATGTACTCGGCAAGTTAACTTGTCTCCAGTGAACATAAAAGCGTTTATGCTAACGTATGCTGCGTATTATTTTGAAGCTGATAAATATAACTGTTTTCCACAAGGAATCGGCTAACAGACACGTTGTTCGGGTTTATTAAACTCAGATGATTACCAAAGTACTAGGTCATGTATAACAGCATTCACCGAAAGCAACTTTCTCAATGCGTGCCACTTTTTAAAGATTAAAGGAAAATCAACTATGGGATACACGGACTGGACAGAATGTTTTGAGAGTGTAATACTTAATTGGGCCCAAGTAAACGGAGTTTCCAAACGCACTGAAAATGGGCTTTAAACAATTTATTTGAGTCTGAAGCATGTACGTGTGGCGTAACATATCAGCAGGGTTGTTGAGGTGCAACATACTAAACCGACTATATTCCGAATGTAAGAACTGCTACCATTCAACATGTTTCGTTGATACATTGGAGCAGATGTGTGATTTCAGTGCAAAGTCCAGATTAACTTCCACTGTAAAGGTGACTGCGGATGCTGCTGCTTTCTCAACTACCTCATTGAAGTGTCCAACTTTTCCTCGTGACATTTCCTCATCCATACATCTACTTCAACCCTATGTAGACTGGACAGCTTGATACACAACGCAGCGCAAAACCCCTGTGTAAACTGAGATATTTTAACAGTATCGGACAAAATAATGGGTTTTGATAACACCGTTAGTTAAGTACTCAGTATTCATGCTTTTTGTTACCAGGGTAAAGATGTGATGAGGAAACTTTGGGTGTGAACAGTCTTACAACTCATAGTTTACAGTGAGTTGAATGAGTGGAAACTGAGTACGTTATATGCGACTCAAATGTGCACGATATTGGATCGTAGTTTGTTGATCCCAAAGGAATGAGAGAACCTTAGTAAAAATAATAGTTTCAAATTGTTCATCATGCGAATCGATTCAACGTGTTCTTATGTATATTTTTTCTAATATCCGATTCACACTAAAAGGTCACAGTTTCTACCTACTGTTCTCCGTAGATCCAACTCACCTTGTCCTTTAGTTTTCAGCAGACCGAGGTCAAGCGGAGGACCCATCCCTTCCGATCCGACTGCGCTGATCGTGACTCGATAAGCAGTATGCGACAGTAGTCCGCCAATCACATATTCGTAGACACGATGAGGTGATAACTGCTGGCTGGATGCAATTATCTTACGCTCCTCCCAGTCGCTGAAAGGAAATGCTGCCCACTGGATGAGGAAATGTGTCACTTCCGAAGCGCTGTGTTTTGGTATATGTGGAATTATCCCACTGAGATCAACTGTTTGTGTAGGTTGCTTTGGTGAGAGCCACCTGACGCGAATTCGTGATGAGTCCAGTATTTCCAGTTCATGGAGAATTGGGGCTGACGGAACTGAGAAAACGAGATCCAGAAAAATACCTTTAAATATACTGTATCTGGAGACGACTCATACTATTGTGTTAAGGGATACGATCTGCTGCATGGCCAGCTGTATTCTTTTATATAGAGGTGCGTTAGTAGCGATTAGCCTCAGACGAGCCTCTCAATGCACAAACCTAGCTTGCAACCGACCGCAAGATCAATTGCATTTTAAAACCAAGTCCAGGGCGTCTGGGTATGTAAAAAGTTAACTTATAGCCTGGAGCACTTAGAGGCCTCAACGAGGTAAACGACCCGTAAAATATCTCTGTCGTTTCACCACGTCACAGCGTCCCCAGTTGCAGAGTGGACTCACCTGAGGACACAGTTGGTAGAGCAGACGGCATTCGCAACACAAGTTAATTGTAACAGGCGTCCCCAACTATTACTCAGGCCAACGTATTCACGATGAATTAAATTAGCCGCAGATTGCTATTGATAATCTATTAAGTGTAAATTGACATTAAGGAGTACAATATTCAAAGAATTAGCTGGTCACATAGATTTCGTATTGTTATGGTCCAGTAAGACTGCAAAAGGCATCGGAATTCCCAGCTGATTAAGTGGTCTGCAGGTTCAATGAGATAATACATATTTGCACCGTGCTGGAAGGATTTATGTTGGTGGCTTTGACTACCTTGTTTACATCGATAGGCAACACTGGTGGTAATTTGGCTCGTTTACTAGAGAGCTATGGAGTAGAATTAATGGGCATGATGAAACTTTCACTCAGTGTATGTTTCTCGATGCTACCTATACAAAGCGCATTGACAGCAGGCCAAGTTACCTTGGCTTGTAGAAAAATGAAAGCAGCACATGGCAATAGCACTACCAGCAAACATTTGCAGGCCTGCCGTAGACCATTTTAATGAAAAATTAGGAAGTGCTTAATCTACTGTATTGCTAAGAGTTCTTCCAACTGCGCTTATAAGTTACTAAGGCAATTTGGCAAATGATTTATTGAAAAAAGAACCCACATACACGCTAAAGCATCAGTCTTAATGTTGCAAGTGAGAATGCCATGTCAAAAAAGCGTTAGCACTTATAGGTTAAATTGATTTTAACACAGTCAATTTATGTGATTTTTGAGCGCTAATCATATGAAGGTCTCTCTGTTACCAGCAATGCAGAAGCTGGGTGCATAGCGTAGGTAAGTAAGCCGGAACACATCAAACACTGCAAACTACTCAGTGGACATTTACGACGCATCACCAGCAGTCAGAGATGTGGAGAAGAGGTTACGCTTTAGTAGAGTCCTTCAACAGTAGACAAGTGCTTCGGTGTGCTCAAATAGAACGACCAGAACGGTACTTTATACAATGTGATCGCCTAACTCTTGCAAGAAATTGAATAAAAGACATAACTTGTGGTACAGGCGCCATCACTGTTCACATCCCGTTCACGCAGTTGCCATTAGTGTTTAAAGATGAAGAGTCAGTGGTCGCCCACAAGAGAATGATTAAAGTTTTTCCCCTAGCATTTGTCATTTCTTAGAACTTTCTTTCCGTCGTCCTTGTTATCCATTGTGCAAGTGGGAATATCACCTTTGTGGGAGCCAAATTCTTCTGTAGATGTAATTTTAGTACTCCGCTCAGTGTCCAAGCCTCACCCAATAATAACACATATTGCCTCAACTCTCCACAGGGGATATTTAAAGTAAGCTTTGCTTTTGAATATCTGCGAGTTTTACAGCTGACATCAGTTTTTCTGGGGTTGTAATAGGCTTAACTACTAAACTGCACCACTCTACCCAAAACAAAGTGATCAAGCAAAGACAGCTGTTTGTTAAACATCTGTATCTACAGTTCAAATCGTGCTTTTCTCTGACGGGGATGATATCCTGTTGTTGCTATTGCTGTTGTTACTTGTTGTTGTTGTTGTTGTTGTTGTTGTTGTTGGTTGGTGTTGTTGCCAGAGAATGTTACCGACAAATCTTTGAACTTCTTGCGTACCTAACCTTAGTAAACAAATTTGATAACTAACTTAACTTTCAAAGTGAAATGCGCAATGGACCAAGCAAATAACATTAAGGCAAAGAAGATTCGTTGTTTTTCTCGGATTTCCCTGCAAGCTCAATTAACGATTTCACCTCTAGTTTACTCCGTATAGCGCTTGTAGCACGGTAAAGGTCTTCATCACGCTGCCAATGAACTTAGTTGAGAATATCTATTAACCCCAATCAGTGTTTTGAAAACACTCTCAGATCACATGTTGTCAAAGATTAAAGTGAGCGTTAGTTTTGGACTTGCGGATAGTTTTTCACCCATTAATCAGAAGGGCATTCCATTTACTGTCAAGCGACCAGATCTAGTGCTGACTTTTGCTCTATGACTGTGCCTCCCATTTCGGTCTACTGATTAAAAACTAGGATTACAAAATGACTACGAGTTGTCTCTTTCATTACCAAAGCACATGTTAGTGTGTAGGTTACACAGATCATTTCCTTGAGGACTCGCTGTAGCCGGTATCAGGTAGCTATCTATTCCTTTCTATCATTTCATTTCCGGACAACCGGAAAATATCTACCCAAGGACAACGGAAGATGAGATCGGTCTTTTTACAAAATTAAGCTTCCTAGCCAAAGCCTGTGCTTTCCTCAAACAATAACCCTAAAAGTACGTAACGTAGCGCTTGCCTCCTCTTGTCTTAACAAACCATCACTACAGATACTAATGATTTGGTCTATTAGTTACCTCATCACCAGCTGGATCTAAAACAGCCAAAGACAAGTTCCAGCCTACGCCTATACTAGGAATTATGAAGTCTACCAACAGCACCACACTTCTTCCACTTAGGGTAAACCCTAGGAAACTGGTGATAAGTGGTTTTTTGTAACCGGGAGTTTGACAAACAAAATTAATCTTTTGCGGATCTTTTTGTGCAGTTTCACGCAAGTTTCTATGACACTTGACCTCGCACAACCTTTCATACTGAGACGGACTTCAAAAGGACCGTATAACTAACTTGCACCAGATTGCGCGAAATAAATGCAGTTTGTTAAGGTTGAAGAAGCCCGTTTCATTCCTCCGGTTTGCATCGGTACATGCCTTTCCCATCAAACATAAGTTGGGCACCGGTTCCACTTTGTTCTGGGCATATTGGACAGATTTGTTCAGTTAGGAACCACTTGAGTTACTTCCTGAGTGAATGGACTAAGACACCTCAACGCAATCTGAACCGTGAGTCACTGTGCAGCGAACTTGGATCATTTCCCGCACTGGGACTGTATCTGAAGCCGATGTATTTTGGCTTTTGCCTGCTTCCGAGTCGCACTGCTGGTATCTTTGTCAGGTGAGTGCGTAACACGTCGTGGGATGCCGTGCCGCAACCGGGTAACGAAGGTACTTCTTGTTTTTATCCTCTTGAAGTTATTGTGGTGTGGCCATTTTGCAAGTGCAGTTGCTGAGCAAGAAAGCGGAACCCGGATAAGCAAGTGCATCTTCTCCCATGTTTTGTCGCAGCGCAAAGAACTTTCGGAGACATCGTATAAACCGCCCAAGGGAGGATGATCCGCCAATGGGTCTTCCGAATACCCAAGTTATCTTATCTACTGCTAAACCATACTGAGGACTGAGAGGAAATGCGGACCAACCTCGGCACGTAGTCGATTTTTGAAGATGCTTTGCGAATGCTGATCTAGCTGATTGCAAGGCAACTTATGTTCTGGTGAGGTCGTCTAAATTGTTTACTAAGCATTTGTGTTTTTGCTGTTTGTTTTCAGGTTGGAGATTTGTTGAGGCTAACATTATTCCTGTGTGAACGAAGCATTTCCACATTAGTTCACGTAAACTTTGATATGTTTCCCATGGATAAACACGATCCTAATATGTTGCAGCGGAATTCCGAGGAACGTCTGTTATCACTATGTTTAGTTCGTTGGCGCGAACACTTTCGTAAAAATGGGTCTTTATTTTATCAGGATAGGGTTGTAGCTTTTGTGGTAACTATACTAAAGCGAATAATTGTTCCCATTTACATCGTTATCTTGTTTAACGTAAGCAGCTTATTAGTGTAATTGTCGCAACAATTTATTATTCACATCTATTCACACGCAGACAATTTTAGAAGGCATGTTACCTCACCCGAACCCCTCAATGTAGAGTAATGATGCTGAAACAAGTCCGCCGATCGGCTCCAGGACACCCAAATTTCCGTGCTAACTTTGTAAGTAATATATAATCAGCAAAAGTCACCTGTTTAGCATTGGTAAGCAGACAATACCAAAATGGGTTTTTATAGTTTCTTTCGTCGAGCAAATAAAGACTGCGTATTCAAAGATCCGACTAAGGTTAGTCGAGTGGTAGCGGTGCTTAGATGTATTTGTATTGAAAAGGCATTGACTACGAGAATTAATGAGTGCGATATAAGTGACTGGTTCGCAGCCAACTGAAATATCATTATGAATTCGTTAGCTTACACCCAGTCATCCTGCAGATCAACTTCTGCAAGCAGTGCATTAAGCCTAAGCAGTATAAACCATCGTTTACATTGTTAACGAGAATGCAGTGGATATTGTCATACCAACCTTATCTAGAGAGGCACAGCAATTCGCTACATGTAACTTGCTACAAATGTCATTAAGTAGCAGTGAGTGGGTTAAAAATTTAAAATCCATTTGATAGCGCCCGCACTGGTTTAAGTGTTTAGTTTGTATTCAGCAGCATCCAAATGACGCTAAGTTCCTCAGATAGAATTGTGTAAGTTGTGGAGCGAAAAATTTCGCAGCTAAAAGATTTCGTTGCAATTAAATCGGTTGAAAAATGGAGCTATGACGTTAAGATAAAGGCGTACATTCGTTGTTTCGAGCTGGTATAATCTCTGGACACCATGTGATATCAAGTTTGATTACCGTAGGAAACTTATTCTCTAGAGCGAAACATTGCCTTACCTCCCCCGCTTAGCCTTGTCTTTACATGACAGCGGCGCAGACGACAGTGCTTCCAGTCAGTTCAGTAATATGTGTAGACAAAATT